CATTTATTTTAATTCTCATAATTATTAGTTATTTTATTATTTTGTTTAACACACTGATTTGTATCTCTTCTTTCATTGTATGCTGAAGCAATTTTACTTTCTTGACGATTACGCTTGTGCCTGGACTTACTGCTTCACGCAAATCAATCTATCGTTCAAGAGGTGGCGCTCAGAGCTGAAGAAAAAATATTTTACTCAAAGAACAGAAGATTGGGAGCGTTACTGGCATCTTGACAAGCGCGTGGATGGAGTTGATTTTTTTGCACTTTGCGATTATTGGGACACGGCCGAAATTCAGGTATTATTGAAGTATATATTTTCGTTTATTGTTTGAAATTCTATATTATATCTGTTTAACATTCTTTTGCAGGAACAAGCTGAAATAGCAAGGAGGAACCGCAATGCGCCCCGCAGTTACGAGCATCACGGGGGCTCCAGGTCCTTCAGCCAGCATTATCATCAATTGGCGCTTGAGGTATATAATATATTAGCTCTTAGGTTATCAATTTGAGTATAATTTATGTGTTATGAGTTAATGATATATGTGAATAAAATAGGGAAGGGGAGAACTCGGGCATTTTGCAGATCGTATTCTGACTGGTTGGAGTCCAAATTACGCCGATGAAGTGAAGAAAGCGCAGAACCGGGATCTGGCTGTAAGTAGCAGTTAATTTGTATATTTAATTTTTATAACAATGCATTTTAAATGTGTTAGAATTGACCGGGTTGTTTTGGTATATCGCAGGAGAAATTACATGCTAAGGTGCAGGAGCAATTATCACAGACTCAGGTCGATTCTAACACTCCGACCCGATTAAGTAGAGAGGAGGAGGATAGCATCATCGAGACGGTCATTGGACCGAGTAGGAAGAACAGATACAGGTGGAGAGGATCCGAGCATCGGCCGTACGAGTCCAGTAGCACCTACGAGTCTGCAGCTCCACCAGGATGCAGTTCTTCTCAAGACCCGACTATGGAGCAGCGGATGAAAGCGATGGAAGATTGGCAGTCGCGTCGGGAGTCGGAGCTACTCCAGATGGCGGAGGAAGAACGGAGGCGTCGGGAGCAGAGGGAGCTGGAATTCACCCAGTTTATATCGACTCTACCTTCTGATGCTCAGGAGGCATATAGGAGACGGTTTTTGGCGGATCAGGTAATATATATATATATGTATATTTCTTTTTTAATTAAATGAATTAAATATAAAATTCTTACTTAGTTACGAGTATGCCGTGTGACTAAATGATATCACACAAACTGTTACACACAAACTATATCTCTCTCCGAAACACAACTAAAATTATATACTTAATGTTTTTATGTGATGGTGGTGTTGATGGTGCGTGCATGCGTAGCGATGGTTGTATTGGATAGTGAGTTGGTTAGTTAGTTGTTATTTTGTTTTGTTGTGGGGCGTTCGTGTGTAGGGTCGTTGGTTATGTTGTTGGTTGGTGGGTGTTTTCGTCGTGGTGGTGGTGGTGGTGGTGATGATGATGATGATGGAGGGGGAGGGGGTGGGGGGGGTAGGAGTTTGGTTGGTTCGTGGGTGGGGGATTGTTATTGTAGTGGTGGTGGTGTTGTTATTGTTGTGTTGTGGTGTTGCATGTGTTGTATTGTCGTGATCGTTATGTGCGTGCTTGATGTTGGGTTTGGTCGTGGTGGGGGAGGGGGAAGTGTGGGGATTGGGTTGAGCTGGGTACTCGTGCGTGCGTGTGTGCGTGTCGGCGGAGATAGGTACGGGTGCGTGCGTTGTTAAAAACATGTGCGTGCTTGCGTATAATACATAAATATATGCCATGATACTCTCTCTGAATCATATAACATGTAAGAATATGCCATGATACTCTATTATTGCTATACTTGCATGTTATGCCTTGTTGTTTTACAATTTGTTACTTTACTGTAAAATTCAGTTTTTGATGATGTACGTATTGCTCTATAATGTTTTATTTATTTTTTTAGGCTGGGACTTCTCGACAAGGTGGAGTTGGTGATGAGGATGAGGATGATGATGATCGGGACTGAGTTTATTTGTTTTAACATTAAAAACAATGGGTGTGCTGTATAAACATTTCTAATGTTGGGTGTGCTGTATAAATATTTCTAATGTTGGGATATTTATTATGTTTTTAGTGAAATAATTGTTATATATGCGTGAAATATGTGTTATATGTGCTTGTGTTGGGTAAATTTATTGTACAGGTTATTGTTGTGAAATATATTGTACAGGAATTTCTTATTTTCAAATTTTTTTTTAAAAAAATTCAGATTATTTTTAGCGACGTATATTCCGTTGCTAAAAGCTCTTTTAGCGACGGAAAACTGACACGCCAGATGTGCACTAAACAACTTTTAGCAACGGATTTTCCGTCGCCAATAAATATTGGCGACGGAAAATTATATAGCGACGGATTTTCCGTCGCTATATATCCGTCGCTAAAAGTTTATTTTGGCGACGGAAAATCCGTCGCCGAATTATAATTTTTTGGCGACGGATTTTCCGTCGCTATATATCCGTCGCTATAAATTAGCGACGGATTTGCCGTCGCTAAAGGTAGATTTACCTACCCTGACAATAGTGACGGATTTTTAGCGACAGAATTTCTTTTTTTCCGTCGCTAAAACTTTTAGCGACGGAATTTGGACTTTTGGCGACGGATTTTTCCGTCGCCAATAGTCCCCTTTGCAGTAGTGCTGCCTAACTCCAATACTTAACGTGTAGAGTTATTATTAATCTTTAGTTTATGATTTATTCTGAAGTTTATGAATGATTAGCAATAAACTTCATATTCTCTTTAATTTCGCTCTATCCCACGTATATTAATCATCTTGGCTTATTGGCTTTAATTATTCATCTTTCTTTTATAATGCTATTTTTAAGTATTTTTCACTTTTACAACATTATATTTTCTCAAACCAAGCTTTGTTTCGTGTCGGTCCAAATAAATTAAAAAATCAAATTAGTTTTAGATTACATTTGTTTCCTAGCAATTCAATTATCAATCATGAAAATTTAAATTTAGTGTAGCACATTCAAACAATCATCAAAGAAAATAAATAATGATAATGCTAAAGTTTAAAGATATAAGTGAGCAAAAACAATCGAAGTGGAACTGAGAAATAAATTTTAGTAAGAAAATAAATTAAAAATATTTAATCATGGTATTTAACCACATGCATTGTACGTGCATAAAACCTAGTATATGAAAATGGATTTCGTAGAAAAAGAGATGCTCAACTGTGATAGTGGAGAGAACAGACTAGACATTCCTCTGAAAAACAACACAGGAGACCACTAAGAGAATCATTGGTGTAATGAGGGAGTAACAAAGAAGAGCCAAAAGGGAAATTGGACTCCCAATTTGCTCCCCATATACAATAATACGAAGCATAACATAACATGATATAGTCTCTCTTTTTTTTTGGTCAATATAACATGATGTAGTTGATTCTAATGAGAAATGAATATTTTATACTATCCAGTGGTTGTAGGCTTAGGAGTTAATAGCTTATTTGAATAAGTTAAGCTTGGGACCACAAGGAGAATCATTTTCACTATCAATATTAAAATTTGGTGGTTAAGTGGTTTGTTGGTATTTTAGATTTCGTCAATATATAATATAGAAGAATAATGGCGATGTTTTTTCACTTTGGGAAGAAAGTGGGGATGGAACCTCTTGACCTAACTCTTGGTGACATATAATGATGCTAATATTTTAAGGTTTCAGGTGTTTGCATGATTCAGCTTAGCAAAATTTATTACGAAATGGACCTGATAGTTGCGAGTCTTGTGACTATTTGATACCATCTATGTGATTGTGATTCATCAACAATATATGCGACAAATATCATATTCCTTACGAATCATAAATGTTTTACTTTTCAATCGAAATAAATGCACTTATTGATTTAATAACAGATGATTATATTTTTTTTAAAACTCTCTTTTATTTAATTCCAAAGATTTATTGACTCAATAAGTTCCTATGTGTGTGTGGGGTGGGGGGGTGGGTGGGGGCGGAAAGCAGCAAGAAGCATTTTTGGAGAAACCGCGTGAAGAGGAGATGTCCAGCGGGTTTTGAGTTGCGCCCAAATGAGGGGATTACAAGAGCCAGCGGATTTTAGTAAACCGCGTGGGAGGCTATTGCCCAGCTGATTTTTGCTAATATCCAGCAGGCGCATGACGTAAAGAGATGTTTTGTTCAGCGGGTAAGAGGCCCACCCGACAGAAGCTTATAAATACTTGTTGGTTCTTCCTAGGGTTTTGTGTGCGAAGTGAGGGGAGCAAAGAAAGAAAAAGCGGCTGCGTGAAGTTCTGTGCAGAGGCAGAGGCTTGGACGGCTGTGCAAAAAGCAAGGAAGAAAAGAATCTGTTTTTCTTTTTCGGCTGCAGCAATAGGCAGAGAGCTAAGTTTTGGGCTACGTGCAACAGCAGTAACAAAGTTCTTTTTGGCTGTTGAGAGAGATTGAGAGATTGTTTAAGGCTTTAGATTGTGAGATTGTAAACTCTAGTTGTATTCTCTCCCTCTAATATTAGATCCCGCCTCCTTGCCCCGTGGACGTAGACGATTTGCCGAACCACGTAAAATTTGTGTTCTTGCCAGGATTTGTAATAGCTTGTAGGTTCCCACGACAAGTCAGTCCTAGAACTGATGAAAGGAAGAGCTGATATCTCACTTTGTTGAGATATTTTGCTTCCAGTTCTTATTTTCTTTGTGAAACTGGAATTTTATTGTGATCTAATCACTTGTTGTGCTGCCGAAATTTCCGCTACGCACAACAAGTGGTATCAGAGCTTCGGGTTGGACTTGGGAGCTTATTCGAATGATTCGCTGTTGGATTCTTATTTGAAGAGTTAGATCTGCAACATGGGTGAAACAAGCACATCGGGGTCGTCTCTTACAAAGACGATACATAGTTTGAGTATCAATAACATGAAGATCGATGTTCCGAAGTTTGATGGCAAGATCAATTTTGGTTTGTGGAGGTGCCAGGTGATGGATGTGTTGGACGCTCAAAACTTGGAAGAGACTCTTGAGTTGCAAGAGAAACCTGCTGATATGGAAGAAAAGGTTTGGAAGAAGATGAATAGTAGGGCGTGTGGAGTTATTCGGTCATGCTTGACGCCAGATCTTATTTATGATGTGATGAACGAGACGTCGGCGAAGAAGATGTGGGAAACACTCAATGAAAAGTATCTTACTAAGAGCATTGAGAATCGGCTTCACTTGAAGAAGAAGTTTTACCAGTTCAAGATGAAGAGGGGAGTTTCTATAAGGGAACATGTTAACAACTTTACGAAGCTACTTTCAGACATGGCCAATGTGGATATTATGATTGAGGATGAAGACAAGACGATGTTACTTTTGTGTTCGTTACCCGAAGATGATTATGGTACCTTTATTCTCACTATGATTAATGGAAGAACTAATGTTAGCTATAAAGAGGTGACCTCAGCGTTGGTGAATTATGAGTTGAGGAAGAGTGTTGATGAGTCCTCCGAGAAGGCATCGGGAGATGCATTAGTAGTTCAAGGCCGTGGTTCAAACCGAAGCAGGAGGTCGCAGTCTAGAGGTGCACATCATGGGATTCATAGGAATCAGTGTGCTTTTTGTAAAGAGGATGGACATTGGAAAGCTGAATGCCCAAAGTTAGATCGAGCTGAGAAGAATAAGAGGAAAGCTATACAAGCTTCAGAGGTGAATGTTGTCAAGACTGGTGGTAACAATTCAGATTCGGATTCTTCAGGCTATTCATTATCCGCACTACCATCAGTTTGTGATGTCGACTCTACGGAGTGGATGTTGGATTCAGGTGCTTCTTACCACGTTTGTCCTAGGAGGGATTTATTCTCCAGCTTTCAGGAGTCGGAAAGAGAGGATGTCGTGCTCATGGGTAATGAACATGCATGCTCTATTGGTGGTATTGGTACTGTTCGGATTAGGATGAGTGATGGGATGATGCGAGAGTTGGATCATGTAAGGTTCGTTCCACAATTGAAGATAAACATCATTTTACTTGAAGCTTTGGAGACAGCATGCTATAGGGTGACTTTGGTGGACGCACGCTTGAAGGTCACATTGGAGTCCATGATTGTGATGAAGGGCGTCAAAAGAAGTAATTTATATTATTTGCTTGGAAGCACGGCGATTGATAGGGAGATGACGACTTCATCAGATTCGGCTAGACTGTGGCGTTGTTTTATGCTGGGTTATTTGATTGGTAATGTCGTACATAAGTTGTTGAGGAGTGCTTTGACCTGCAGTTTAAAGTCCTATGAACCCATTAGTATGAGCAAGAAGACCGAGGTAGAGTTTGGCACTTCTATCCATCATTCGAGGGGTCTTCTGAGGGGTGTTCATTCAGGCATTCGGGAGCCTTCCAAGGGAGCATTATTAATAGGTATGTGGTTTCCACAGTTGGGGATTGCTCTAGGCATTGGTGGGTTGCAACCAAGTCCCGTTGGTGTGAAGTCCTAGAAGCCCATAACAGATGGAGGAAGTGTGTTGATAGAAAGGTAACCCGACGTTCTGATTATGGTAGGGGTTCTTTCTTGTGTTTGTACCGAGCTCACGGCAATAGGAGACACTTCATTGGCGTGGAAACTTTAAGGCGACTTGATGATATGGCAGATTTGGGGAGCTGTTCCTTTCTGAAGGAGGATCGGCGTTTGATATCGAGCATTGGTATTGGTGTGCAGACTACGACATGTTTGGGCCATCTTATGCATATGTTGCCGATTACTGCTTGTAGAGATTTTAGATCTGGTGGGGTTGTTTCAGATTTTAGGTTGCATCGGATATTTGGCTACCCAGTACTTGGTCACATCGTGGATGTGAGATTTAATCTGATAGCACATTTGGGAGTCAGATGCGTGTTTGATTATCAGGTATTGGCTTCTGACTTTGTTCTGGGAAGGTATGTCACGTTTGACTCTCGGCAGGTGGAGAGTGGTGATCAGATCTTTGGGACATTACAACGAGTGGAGAGTGATGCTACTCCACGTTGGGTGGAGATTACTCCACATACTCCAGATCATACTGCATCATTTGGGATTCTAG